CCCCGCAGGCAGCCTACGACGCCGCCCTGGAGCTCCTGGGTCGCCAGGAGGCAGGACTGGCACTGCCCCGGCTGGAGGAGGCCCTGCAGGAGAGCCTGGCTGAGCTGGAGAGCTGCCGGGCTGGCTGCGAGGGGTCTGAGGAGCTGCAGGGCGCGGAAGAGGAGGAGGAGGGGGCTGGCAGCCCCAGGGGGCTTTACGAGGCCATCGCAGGTGAGGACTGGGGTGTGGCCTGCGGGGCGAGGTGGGTACCAGGGAGGAGCATGCATAGCCAAATGGCGTGTGTCTCCTCCGCAGGGCACTGGGTGCGCGTCCTGCAGTGCCGACAGCGCTGCGTTGGGGAAACGGCCACACGTCCTGGCCGCAGCTTCCCTGTTCCTGACTTCCTTCCTGGCCAGCTGAGGTGGCTGCACGAGGCCCATGCCCAGGGTCAGTTGGGGACAGGTGGCCCTGCGAGTGACTGGGTTGGAGAGGGGTGGTGAAGGCTTGTCCTGGTCGCGTCCTGAGCCCCGCCTCTCTATCCGTCTCTCCTGTCTTGGGATCTGTGCTTTCGCTGCCAGGGCTCTGTGGGGGCATCTCTCCGGGAGGACCCTCATTGCTCTCCTTTGGCACCTGCGACATGCTCAGGAGCTGGGTCCCAGGTCTTCTACCGCCCTGCCGCTTCTCACCTTCCTTCAGTTTCCCTCTCCTCTTCTCTGGACTCTCCAGCTAAGGTATGCTTGTGTCAGTCTCGCAGGAAGCAGCAGGGAGCATGTCCACCTGGCGCGGGGCTCTTGGGGTCCGCTGGTTGGCCTCAGGAGGCCTCCCGCACCAGCACTGCCTCTGCCCAGGGACCACTGTGCTCTAAATGTCAGTCTCCACCCCACCCTGATGCTCCGTCTCCAGTGGGAAATCTGTCCCAGGCTGTGGAGAATGTCCTGAGTGTCCTGCTCTTCTACCCGGAGGACGAGGCTGCCAAGGAGGCCCTGAGCCAGTACCAGGCCCAGCTGGGAGAGCCAAGACCCGGCCTGGGGCCGAGGGAGGCAAGCTCACCCCCACCTCACCCCGGGGGAGCCCCCAATCAGACATACCTGGGAAGCACCCTGGGCCCCGCTCCCCATTCTGTCCTCTGACCCGGGCGTTCTGGTCACCAAAGGGAACCCCCGTCCGGCATCTGGCTTCGGTCTTGGCTCACCGCTCCCCAGGTTCGACTGGAACTCTGAGTCCCACCCCGACCTCATCTCTCTTCCCTTGACCTCCCACCGGCTTGTGCTCGTGCTCTCATGCACACTCACACCCACAAACACACACTCCCTCCCGTCCGCACGCCCTTTCACTCACAGACCCACATTTTAGCACTCACACACTCACACCTCCACGTTCGCGCACACCCACACACGCTCCCTCACACTCTCACACACTCGCACTCGCAGTCACAGACGTGCACACGCTCACACACTCACATCCCACTCTCCCCCCGTGTGACCCCGGAAGCTCTGGAGCTGCTGCGGGCGGAAGTTGGACGGTGGCCAGGAGGCACAGAGACCGGCTAGGCAGAGGAGAGCAGACCCCAGCGCCTCCAGCCTCGGCCTCCCCGCCCCACCTCACCGCTTCTGTCTCGCCCCTCAGGACATCCAGCGCTTCGTCCTTCGGTCCCTGGGGGAGAAGAGACAGCTCTACTACGCCATGGAGCACCTGGGGACCGGCTTCAAGGACCCTGTGAGCCACCCGCTTTCGGCCGTCCGTCCTCCGCGCTCCTGGGAGGGGGAAGGGGAGGTCGCGCTGTTTTGCGCTGGTGTTGCTGGTCCTCGCTTCCCAAGCTGTGAGGCTGGGCAAGAGCCGGCCATCCCTGCTTGCCGGGTGGAGGCAGCAGGCCTGTAGTCCGGGGCAGCTAAGTGTGGCCCCCCGCCCCGCCCCGCCCCGCCCCGCCCCGGACCTCGGCTCCTGCCTCAGCCTCACCTTCCTCGCCCGCGAATTGGAACATCGCGCCCATTCTACGGGGCTGCCGGAACTGTGTCTTTGGCATAAAATGCAGAAAGCTCTGTTGCTGGGCTTTGACCACTCCTCTCGTGTTCGTGAGAGGCGGCTGAAGGGCAGAGGTTATCCACAGCCGGGACTGTAGCCAGGCTTCTCAGCTTTCTGGGCACCATGGACACCTGGACCTGAGAGTTCCTGTTGGGAGAGGGGCGGGCACGTCCTACGCTTGTTTCCCTGGCCTGTACCCAGTAGAGGTCAAGAGCAGCTTGACACCCCCGAGCCATGACAATCAATAATGTTTCCAGACGTGGCCTGATGTCCCCTGGGAGCAAAATCACCCTGGGTGAGAAACTCTGGTTAGAAGCCAGAACTCTAGCCGGGCTCGGTGGCTCAGCCTGTAATCCCATGCCTTGGGAGGCTGAGGTGAGTGGATTGCCTGAACCCGTGGGTTC